CCTCGGCCACGGCCGCCACGGCCGCCAGGAGCCCGCAGAGCAGCGCGGGGGCCGGGCCCGGGCCCGGGCAGGGCGGCCCGCAGCCCCTCGGGGGGCCGGGGCAGGGCGGCCCGCAGCCCCTCATGCCGGCCGGCGGCTCCGCGGAGGCCGCGCTGCGCCGCCGCCACGTCGGCTTCCGGCAGCGCCCATCAACAACCGGGGCAGCCCCGCCGCCGCATCCGGGGCCTCCGGGGCCGCCCAGGTGAGCACCGCGGGCACGGCCCGCCGCGGGCACACGGGCAATGCAGCGAGCGAGGGGCTCAAGGGGCGAGCGAGGGAGCAGCGAGTGAGGGGGGGAGCGAACCGTGAGGGAGGGAGGAATGAGGGAGGGAGGGAGGAATGAGGGAGGGAAGGATGAGGGAGGGAGGGAAGGATGAAGGAGGGAGGGAGGGGCTGAGCGATGCGGGGAGAACGGGATGCGTGTAATTCGGTCATCAGTGTGTGCACTAAGGGTTAAACACGACCAGCAGCTACGGGATGATGAATGCAAGGCAGCCCTCGAAGGGCTCCCTGTGTGTCTCTATAAACACCCGTGTATGTATATATATGTGTGTGTATATATACGCGCCTGTATATATGTGTAAGTGTATATATACAGCGGGATATGCACATATATATGTATTATATACACATATATATGTATATGCACCTGTACACATATATATATATATACCTGTATGTACATACATATATATGTATATACACCTGGATATACCTGAGGGGTCCAGCGCTCTCCACATCGGAGCACAGTAAGCCAGTCCCATCTGATCTGTGGCAAACACGGAGCGGGGAAATGGTTGAAGAAGGAAGGGCAGGAAGTTATTGGCCACGCTACAGAGAACCCATTAACGAGGGACTCGTGGAATCATTTGTGTTGGAAAATACCTCAGAGATGGAGTCCGGCCCTTAAGTTTGGCCTTGCCTAGTCCATGTGTTTTCTGGTGTTAGTAGTGATGGATATGACTGTTTCCATCCCCAGACACTGCTTGGGAACAGGTTTCGCAGTAGCTTTGTGTGTGTGGTTGTGTAGTGAAGCCATATCTAAAATCTCTATAATTTGCACAAATATAGATTGAGTTTGAACCAGCAGGAAAAAAGATGAAAAAGGTGTATATTAAATTTTTTGGCGGTAACAGATCTGAAAGGCTTTTGGTGGTGACTAAACCTGCAGGGAGAGCAGTGGCTCCAATCCCACACAGCAAGAACAAGTTTATATATTTGTTATTCTACTTCCTGTGCTTTAATTAATTCCTAACGTGATTTATAGGAGCTCTTGTGTTTTGTTTTTCATCGTCACCCCCAACAGCATTTGGGTACAATTAAGACATGCCTTGATGTCCATCCTCCCGTGGACACACTTGAAAAGTAACATTTTTGGAAACTTCCAACCCCGATAGTCAATGCAATGCATTTTTATTGCACATTTTTATTGAGGTTGTACACACACACACTGGAATGTGTATTATTGCAGTGTTTTATGGATTTGGGAAGCAAATGAAGCAATGAGGCCTTGAAGACAATTAAAGATAGAAAGTGCAGAGCTACACAGAATCACAGTGCTTAAATAATGAGAGTTTCAAAGAGAGAATCATCCTTGAGGGTTTGGGATCATTAGTGAGCACAAGCACTCCCTGCCCTGTTTTAAGGAACAAGGCTCAGTCCTTGAGGAAAGAATTTTTACATTTAAAAAGGATTTTTAAAAGGGCAGAGAGTGTTCATGCCATTGCACATAGTTTTACTTTCACAAATCTAAACCAGGAAGATGCAAAGAAGAGAAAGGCGTGACCTTTTTACGAGAAAGAGACATCTTTTTTGCAATTACTGGTGCAGAATCCAGGCCTCCAGGCAGCTACTAAACACATTCCCTCGCTGAGAAAACAGGGCGTTATGTGGTGGTTGAAACAGGACCATTTACATTAAGATATAAAAATATACTTTGTTAAAAATTAATAAAAATAAATTTCTGAGGAGCAAGACAAATCCGTGTTGGGACGGAAACTCTGTGTGCTGATGGATTGAGTCAGGAAGCCTACTGGCCTAAACTGGGGGGCTTCCCAACCCTCTTGGGATGTCACTGAAAAGAGGGTTCCTTCCTTCATTGCCTTCTGTCCGTGAGTCCCTGAAAACAGGCTTGAAATCTGTCCTTGGAGCTGGGGGGACTTTTTAAGAGAAGGGGTCACAACAGCATTTAAAAGTAACAGACGTGAGAGTTTCTGTTCTTGCTGGGTTGTGACTTCAAGTCATGTTCTTGGTTACTTTTAGCATTTGGGGTTTATTCTTTATATTAGGCTTGAAAAGTAAAATGAGGCACTGAGAGGTTATGGCTTGTCTGAGTCCAAAGTCAGGACCTGACAATAAAAGGAACTATTTCCTTGACCATAAAAAGGTTTATCCTCTGCTTTTAAGGATAAATTAATATATACAGGGTAAAATGACTAATTCAGTGGAATAACTTCATTTCAGAGCAGCTGAACATTGATATAAATATTCCACTATGCAAAATTTCTCTCTATAGTAGTAGCACTGTGGTCTCGAATCCCAAGAAACCACCACTTAGATCTGTGGGACTTGTCTCTGAATGCTGATTTTAAAAATATGCTATTTAGAACATACTATTTAAAAATAATCTAAAGATTTTATGCTAAACCTGAAATAATAATTAAAAAAAAAAATCTTTTAACAAAGAGAAGCTTAGTGAGATTTCCATGCAGGTGTAGTCTTTGGATGAAAGGCTAAGCAACCAAATTCACACCTAAAACATTTTCCCCGCTGAACTGAATGATTTTGGTAATTTTAATGACCGGCTCCTATTCTGAATGCAACATTAATTGAGATCTGCAGCACTAATTAAGGTAGCACAGCACAGAGAAGCACTCCTCCCAGCTAGAGAGCCACAAAACTCCCCTGGAGACAGAACCAGGTCGTTCAAGAGCAGGACGTCACTTTATAGACAATTCAAGGGTTGGTGCTTTTTCAAGAGCTCCTTGACCAGCGTCTCCAGGGAGAAGAGGTGCTCGTCCACGTCCTCGGGGACGAGGCTGCGGATGGAGTTGGCGAGCTCGAAGAGGTACTCGGTGTTGCGGCCGCTGGGCCCGGCGGCGCCCAGGATCTGGCGCGCGATGTCCTCCAGCGGCGCGGGGCCCAGGTAGTTGGGGTTGTCGCGGGTGCCGATGTAGAGCAGCACGTCGAAGGGCTGCACCGACGAGTCCTTGGGGTAGAAGACGACGCTCGTGGTCCTGTAGCCCCCCTTCTCCCGGAAGTCCAGGTGTGCCATCACCTCGCCCTCCTGCCCCGCTGGCAGCCGGTAGGCCACGCCCCACACGCAGCCCTGGCCGAACGAGACCCAAACGGTACTCAGCATTTAGGAAAAACTCTCTTCAACCAACTCACGTTCTGCCCTTCTGCAGTCCTGTGGCTGTTTCTGTGAAAGGGCTGCCTTATTTAGGCAGTTCATAGAATCAGCTGGGTTGGAAAGGTCCAACCCCGGATCCAACCCCGCCGTGGTTCCCAGCCCGTGGCACTGAGGCCACATCCAGTCTGTCCTTAAACACCTCTAGGGATGGTGACTCCACCCCTCCCTGGGCAGCCCATTCCAATGGCTAAGCACTCTCCCTGTAAAGAATTTCTTCCTAATATCCAGTTACAGTTTCATTGCTGCCTACACCTGTTACATTTCTGCACTGCTGTGGGCTGCCCAGGTACCTTCAAAACCAGGCTACACCTTCTTCAGCTGCAGGAGGTGAAGCTGAAATTAAAGCAGACTTGTCACATCACTTGACGTTTACATCAAATGATGTATGTTTGCTATATGTTTATATCAAATCCTGCATCTCACAACTGGGTGGCCAAAGTGGCTATTCCAGGGAATACTTTAAAATGTCCCTTTGGTTATAACAGACCCAAACTACTGCCAAGTTCTGGGATTAGACTGATTGTTTGAAACAATCAAGAGCCTTTGGTGTAACTCCAAGAAACACTAAGAGAACTTTCCCCTAAAGATAATACAATTATTGGCTTATAAAGAAGCAAAAATTAAGAGAGATTTGGAACACAACAGGACACTCTGGACACAGAGACAGACAGGAGTTCTGTACCTCAGCATCTTCAACCAGAGTCACAACTCTTCCAGGCTAAAAGGTAAAAGAAGAAATCATAACTCAGTTAGAGGCTTTTACCCTAAATCATGAGTAAAACCAGAACAAAGTGAGAAAAAATCAATGAAGAGGAATGAAAGGCTCAGAGAACTAATCCAGGACAATCTCAATAAGGTCTAAATCCAGTGTAAATATTTTCTGAGAATATCTTTTGATCTGTATTAGACTAACTTTGATAAAGAAAATGTTAAATTCTGAGTGGACAGTGTCTGCAGCACAGAAATTAAACGAAGGGCAGTCAGAAATGGAGAGGGCTTGAATGTCCTTGCTTTATATGTGCTGTCCAGACTGAATTCTACTCCAGTTTAAAACAGTGATTATTTATTAACAGTACAGTAACAGTGATAATTAACAGTTTCATTAATGTAAAACTACTCTCAAGGAGCCCTTGGGGCCTCACTGGACAGAGGGAGGATACCTTGGAAATGGCTTATTCTTGTAGGAAGAGTAAGAAGCCAGTGTGTAAATAGTGGAAATACAATAGTTGAAATTCCTTTTAGAAAATTTTAAAACATAAACCCCTATGTTGAACTACCTCTGGAGTTTAAAATTGCTAATTTTGGCATCAAAATAGTTCTCTCCCAGCATGAGCCCTCTATTCCTGATCTGACTGATAAAATAAGGCAACAAAACTACATGAACACTAAATGATTCCTATGTCCTGAGGAGAAATAGGTCTGTTCCCATGAATCAAAGAAGACAAGTTAGGTGTTCCCTTTTGAAAGTTTTTTCCTAAGCTATTAATACTTCAATAACTTGTGCACTCAATACTGGTCACGATGATTTTTGTAAATTATGGATTGAAGAGAGATTCTGGGGTGGAAAACAACTTTCTCGTTACGTAACTGCAGCCTAACTGCATTAAACTGCATCGAAATTAATTTGATTTAATATGAAGGGAGGTACTGAGAGATGCTTCGTGTTCAGGTGGGTTGCGTGGTGGGAAAAAGATCTGTTTGCCCAGGGAAGGGCAGGGTATTTGGTGTATTGGTTTGCAGAGTCCTTGGCTTGCCTGGAACTACCCAAAACAAACAGTAAGGAACAAATAACTACATTCTTATTGATAGAGGAATTAATTACTGTTTGTACTACTGGGAATAATTCTCTGACAACCTATTTTAAATACCATTAAGGTGTAAGTTGCTGTATAATTTAAAGAACTGTTTTTTTCCTCGCTTTATCGCTGTTTTTCAACATATATCGGGACCGAAGGAGCAGTGGTGGCTCAAGCCGTGTTATCTTTAAGCTCTGCGCGAGTTATTTTATCGTGTTATTTATACCTAGATGAAACCACGCCACTCACAGCAAGCTGTTAGTTCAAAAAATAATCCTCAAGCTTTTTTTTTTTTTTTTTTTTTTTTTCTGCAGGAGGATCTCTTTTAAAACCCAATTCCAGGTTTACAGTGGAGTTACAGGGTGCAGGTTACACTTTATCCTCACTCCCACATGTCTGCATGACATTGGGAATGCTCCCTTGGGGATTTTGGTTTCTTTTTCTTGCTGTTTGTTCGGTTTTGTTTTTTTTTTTTTTCCCTTTAAATTTTATTTTCCCCTTTTCCAGCCAGGTCTTAAATATTTCCTCCTCCATGAACTTTGATTTGAGAGCAGAATAAGCTGAAATACAAGCGCGGAGGTTACTGCCCTTTCCCATTCCCTGTGCACCCGCCCCGAGGGGTCTGCCCTCACCGCGGGGTTTGCCCTCAGGTATCTAACAACCTGCAGAACAGCTCTGGCCATTTCCGAGCCCCTCTCTGCAGTCCCCTGTGCTGTTGGCCGTGTATTTTGCAGTCGTGGCCGGTGCCCGTGCGGCGGCGGGCGGGGCCTGTGCCCGGCCCGGCTCTGAGGGCCGCGCTCCCCCCGGCCCGGCCCGGCGCGGCTCACCTTGCCCGGCACCCCGCGGTGGTCGGTGCTGCCCTGCCAGAAGCGGCGGCTGTAGCCCCGGACGCGCCCCACCAGCTTCTCCTGGTAGGGGAAATCCACCTTCCAGATGAGGGAGCCGTAGCCGAACACCCACATGGCGGCCGGCCCGGCGGGGCCTGCGCGCAGCCGCGGGGCGGCTCCGGGCGGGGGCAGCGGCCCCTCCGGGTGCCCTCACGGCCGCACCGGCACCGGCACCGGGACCGGGGCCGGGACACACCGCGCTGGTGCGGGCCCTGCCGAACGGCGAGACACTTAACCCCCTAAAAACCTACCCCTAGATGCCCCACAGCCACCCAAACCCCGCAACCACCCCCCTCCCCAAAGCCCCCAAACTACCTCCCCACACCCTCCCTGATAACCCCCCTCAAACCCCCCAACCAGCCGCCTCCCAACCGCTCTCCCTCCCAACCCCACAAACGACCGTCTCCTCCTAGATCCCACAACCATCTCCCAACCCCAGACCGGCCACCTTCCTCCAAACCCCCCCACAAACCAAACCAAATCCTCCCTTACATGGGTCGTACCAACACGCGTCTCTTTTCTTTTTCCCCTTCTCTCTTTCTCCTGCAGAGTCTGATCCCAAGGATGGATTTCACGGAGGCCTATTCCGACCGGTGCTCGGCCGTGGGCCTTGCAGCCAGGGAAGGGAAGGTTGAAATCCTGAGGAAATTAATTGATCAGGGATACAGCATCGATGTCCCGGATAACAGGAGGTGGTTGCCCATCCACGAAGCGGCAGCACACAATTCCAGTGAGTGCCTGAGGCTGCTCCTTGGTGCAGGTAAAGAGGACGTGATGAATAGTCTGGTTTTCTGCTCAATTAGCCTGTCGTAGAAAATAGAAATTATGTAGATTTATCGTATTCTTACTTGTTTTGGGAGTTTCTGGGTGGTTTCACAGCTGTGGTAAAGAGAAATTGGCACGTTGTGGTTCACCAGTGACATTTGATAGAGGCACGTTTATAGGCCACGCATCTCAAATAACTCCCTTGTTTTCTCAAAATGACTGTATTCTGTACTTCACTGCTAAACATCCCATTTCCCCCCTCCTCATCCCTCTCTGTAGCCCCATTTGCTGACTACATCCACTCGAGGACGTTCGAAGGGCTGTGTGCTCTGCACCTCTCGGCGCGTCACGGGGCCTTGGACTGTCTCCGTGTCCTCCTAGAGGCTGGGGCTGACCTCAACGATGCCACCACCGACGCCACCACCCCGCTCTTCCTAGGTCAGCTTTCCTCAAATCCCAGAACAACCACACTGAAATCAGGTTTCTGTTCCATGTCCCGTGTATTTGTAGCCTAAACGCCAGCCTTTAGACTCAGAGATGGAGTGGCTCTGCAAATCCCCTTTTATATTTACGAATAAATCTGTTTCAAGCAGCATTTTAAAACAAACTTGTCAAACCAAACTGGTTTGCTGCGTCGCCTTTTCTTTGTTCCTAGCACAGGAAATCTCTAGGAGGTACAGGATTACATATGGATGAGGCTGTTTCAAGTCTGTTTCTTTGGGTTTTTTTAATTCCTCACTAATTCTTACATGAAAAGACTAATTTTTGACATTCCTAGTTTAGTAATTAAGGTCCATTGTTTTTGCATTTCTTCTATGATTTATGTTTGACATAATTAAATGCTTTAAACGGTGACTCCTCAGGGTCTAACTCCTCTGATGAAGTGGGCTTATTGTTTTACCTCCATACCCAGGCAAATATCACAGGTTCCTGTGTTACTTTTGTTTCCAAGTCTATTCCAAGATTGAGGGAATTTGGTCGTCCACGCAGTTCATTGTCTGCTGTGGAACTGTCTCCATGTTCCATGGGAAAGAGGGAGGAGAGAAACTTGCTTTTATTACCTGTCTTAACACAGTGGAGGTGGAATTCTAACAAGTTTAACTGAAAACTGGGTGGATAATTGCTATTCTCCAACACGGTTTTGGGGTGTAAGCACAGGAGGCAGTAAGCAGATACAAGATGGGTTTAAAAGAATTCTGATTATTGTGTCAGGAAGTTGGCAGTGAGACCTTTTGAGTTATTCAACGAGTTCTTAAATTCAGATATTTAAATTCTATTCTTTTGAAAGTTCTTTAATAGTCATTATTTTACCTTTTTTCTTTTTTTTTTTTGTTACTATTCTATTGAAGCTGTTGAAAATAAACACACAGAGGTAGTAAAGTTTCTGCTTCAACATGGGGCAAATATTGAAGGTCCTCATTGTTGGTCCGGGTGGAATTCTTTGCACCAAGCTTCTTTTCAGGTAACCTTTAAGCACATCCTATAATTTCAGTGTAACTGGTGTGTTCTGAGTGATAATTTATTTATTTAATTGCATTTTTAAAGGATAAATTTTCCTAACCAGCCTAAGCAGTCATAAGGTTGTACTTACAAATGTATTTGCTTAATGGTGCTAATAAACTCATTTAATTACTGTTTATATGTTTCAAAAACATCAGCAAATGTAATAAATTAATTGAAACTTGTCTGATTTATTTTACCATTAACTATTCAATGCATCTTTAGAATATTGATATATTGTGTCTTATTTCAGTTTGTAATGTGGGGGGGGAAATAGAATATGTAATTTCCTTGCTTTTCTGTTGGTTAAGGGTAAAAACACTTATTTCAGGGTTCCACTGAGATAATGGAAATCCTCCTGGAGAGAGGGGCAAGCAAGAACTGTAGGGATGACTTTGGAATTACCCCCCTGTTTGTTGCTGCTCAGTACGGCCAGCTGGAGAGTTTACGGCTGCTGGTGTCCCACGGTAATAATGAGCCTTCATTTCCCTTTTTAAACCTCCATCAACTGTCACTAAATACAATTGTGGTTCTGCTCTTGCACGTAATCTCAAATTTTAGGTTGGGGTGGGTTTTTTTTCCTTGTTGCTGTGGAAAACTTGTTGAGTTTGGAGTCACCCCGTGAAAAATAATTACCGGTGGACATGAATTTGGTTTTGTTTTGTGTCAGGTGCAGACCTCAACTGCCAGGCCAAGGACAGAGCCACCCCCCTGCTGATTGCTGCACAGGAGGGACACTTGGAGTGTGTGAAGCTGCTGTTGGCAGCAGGGGCAGATCCAAACCTCTACTGCAACGAGGACAAGTGGCAGTTACCAATTCACGCCGCGGCCGAAATGGGCCATGTCAAGTAGGTGGTGGAAAAGGTGTCCAGAAGATTCTGGTGACACAGTTCTGTCATTAATGTGAGGTAGCCTGGAGCTGTGAGCTATGAACAGGAGGATTTTTCTGTTCCACTAAATATTAATTTTATTTGCGACTGATCTTTCCAGTTTGCTTCCAGACTTCAGAGAAGTCTGGATTTGATGTGCAGTGGTACTCTGCTGCTGTAAAAAGGATTGGGGGATAATAGGAAATAGCTGTCTTTGGTCTGGATTAAAATATTTATTTCCAGCCTAAATCCATGCCAAAGCACAGTGTTTGCCAAGGACCTGTGTCTGGAGTTATAAAGGTTATTCTATGCAAACTCTGGAGTGAAAAGCCAGGATTTTCTTCCAAACTGTGTGAGAAATGACTATGTATTTAAAATGAATCATGGCCTGAGGTCACAAAGCAGTGGTTTGAAATATTTGCAGGATCCTGGAGCTGCTGATCCCAGTTACTGACCGGATCTGCGACAAGGGCAAGGGCAAACTGAGCCCTGTGTATTCTGCGATATATGGAGGGGATGAGGCGTGTCTGGAGCTGCTGCTGAAACAGGGCTTCAGCCCAAATGCCCAGGAGTGCCTTGACTTCGACTGCAGATCCCCCATGTGCATGATCTTCCAAAAAGAGTAAGGAAACCTCTTCTGGTTTGAAACTATTCGTAATTGTATCGGCTTTTATTTAACTTATTTTAAACCTGCAGTTTCCCGCCTTCCTCCTTCAGTTGCTGTCTGTCATTTAATGTTTTTCCAGAGTTCTGTTTAGTTCCCCCTTTGCAGACACTCCTCCTTGGGAATATTAGTGCTAAGTCCTGCTATGTGGCTCGTGTGCTGCATTAAGGAAAACAATAAAGGCTTTTAAATCTTTTTGAAACCCAGATTGTAACAGATTGTTTCATTTATATGGATCAAAATTGATGGCTCAGGTGCTGCCTTTAAGTTCATGAGGTTTGTTAGCAGGGAATTTAGTTCCTGGCATGCTCCTAGGAAGTTGTCTTTAAAAATCCTTGGACATTGTTTTTTCCTCTTCTGCCCTGGTGTTGCTTAATAATGCATAGTTTAGAAAGGGATGCAGAGCAGGTAATTACTAAAACATCCAGTAAATGAGGCAGGCAACATATATCACCACTCTTCTGAAGAAATGTGCCTTCTAATCATTAACTAAACTGAGAAGCAGCACGCTAATTATCAGTCATAATCCCAGTCGTTATCCCAGTGCCTTGCTGTAATGGATAACAGGATTTTAGTGACATGGTTTTACTTTTAAAACCAGAGCTCCCTGCAAGTACAGCTGGATGCAGAAAGCGGGAGATGCTTTCTGAGGGGAAAACTAACAGGCCGCCCTGTTTGTTCCTCCTGCTGTTCCCAGGTATTTTCACTTCACCAACATGCTCCTGAAGTACGGGATCACCCTCCGTGCCGTTAACTTGGGACACTGCCTGTACCATAAGAAGTTCGCTTTGTTTCGGCGCTTCCTGAGGCTGGGCTGTTCCCTGCCCTCGGGGGAGCACTTGGCGGATTTCATCCAGTACAGCAGCACGGTGCGGAAGGAGTACAAGCACTGGCTGCCCTCGCTGCTGCTGGCCGGCTTTAACCCCGTGGATCTCATGCGTGCCCACTGGTGAGCAGAGCCCCTCGCCCCCGTTGCTGGGGTACCACGCGCTGAGGGGCGAAGCGGGCTGGGGGCCTGGCCCTTCCCGGGATGCTCCTTGGCAATCAGTCGCCACCATCAGGAACGGGAGGGGTTGTGGAAAGGCTGAAATAAATCATTCTCACGGCATGTCTGGAGGCAGGAAGGCAGTTTGGTGTAGGAAGAAAGCCAGACTGGAGGTTGCTCTATCGCTACCCCGGAGGAAGGCGTCGCCGCCCAACTTTTATATAGAACATCTCTTAATAGCCCCCAAGTTTAGCTCAGGTTTTGTAGGTGTGTGTGATACTGTAATACAGCCATGGTAAGAAGAATTTCAAATGGGAGAAATAGGTCAGGAGGGATGGGAAGCAAATGGGAAGTGAAGCCGGGCCAGGGCTGGGAGGAGAGGAAACGGATGCAGTCCAAGATTGTTAAACAAAACAATGTGGCAAAAGTTCCAGTCTGGGCTTTGGTTTTGTTTTATTTTTTTTTTTTAATTTAAGTTTTTCCACATACAAATAATGGCTTGGGGATGTTTTACAGTTAATTGGGCACTACAGAATTCAACTGTTGTTTAAAGTTCTGAAATATTGGTGTTTTCTGCTGACTGTAGTAAACACTCTAGAGGGTTGCAACTCAGTGACTGAACAAATCTCACTCTCCTTGCATCTCACACATAGTGCTTTTTGATATTTTATTCCCTAACCCACAGATATTTTTTATACCAATTAGTTCCTTTGTCTAAACACTCACTTTTTAATATAACACTTATCACACCATAATCTAGAAAAATAACTTGCTTTTGGAAAGAAAAGGGAGGGAGATAAAATTACTTTGGTAAAGACCTGTGCTGTAGAATTACTTGGGATTTCTCTGTAGTGGCTTCCTGTTTCTCGGCTTAGGATGAGGGTTGTTAAGGATTTGCCAGAAAAGCCTTCTCTGAGTTGTTCTCATTATTCTGTTTATGCCCCTGTGTAAGATGGTATTTTAGGGGAGTTTTTGTTACACAGGATTTTCTCCGAGAGTGAGGACATCCTTAACTTCCTCCTGGAGTTCACGAACTGGAGTAGACTTCCTCCATATGTGGAGCGACTCCTTTCCCAGTACAAGGAGGAGTTCACCTGGACTCCCAAGAGCCACTTTGGTAAGCAGAAGAGGCAGGAGAGAAGAGTCTGTGTGCATGCCAGCTTCCAGGCTGGAAGTGGGAACATTTGAGGCGACACTGTCAGCATGACTTGCTTACATTTTATTTTTTTAATTTGATTTGTATTTCCTGTGGAGTGTCTGCCCAGTTCTGTCCAAAGCTTTGGACAGGAATTAAAATACAAACCGTGAAAAAATCAAATCTACTCAGAAATGTGGCCAGCCAAAATGTCCCATTGGTTGTCCAGGAATTTTTGACTGTTCACCCTTCAGAAAAGCAGCTTTAACACACAGGTGTGACTGAAAAATTGTGCTCAGGTGTCTGTTAGTGACTCTTTTCAAAGCAAATTCTTCTTTAGAAGGTCTGTAGTAGTTTTTGAAACGTGTAGGTGATAATGTTATTTAATAATGCTTCCTTTGGAATGTTTGAAGCCAATAAGGATGTTTTTGGAGCTGAAAACAAACGGTTTATTTGGGGAAACTGAGGTGAAGTTCCCCCTTTGTTTCCTTTGGTGTTAGTAAATATATCTGTGTTGTAAGAGCATCCAGTCACTGCAGCTGAAGAGGGAGGGGGAGGTTGGGGAAGGGTTCAAGGACTGGCAAATCCCTTCAGTGCAGAGAGCTCTGCCCGTTACCTGCCAGAGCCCGGGGTGTGATCCAGGGAACCACAGGCAGTCCTCCGGTGCCCCTGACTGACTCGGGGTTTCCTTTCCCAGCCTTCATTCCGCCCCTGTCTCACCTGTGCCGGCTGGAGATCCGGGCCTTGCTGGGGAGCGAGCGGCTGCGGTCGGAGCGCGCCATCCGGGCACTGCCGCTGCCGCTGTGCCTGCAGGAGTACCTGCTCTACCTGGATGTGCTGCGGGCCAGCGCTGTCCCACACCTGCAGGATTCCCCGGAGGAGGGAGAGCAGGGAGAGCAGGGAGATCCTGCCACCACTCACTGCGTGCCTGAGGATGCGGGGAGGAGGGACGCCGGTGACACCAGTGCCTGAGCGACGTGGGTTTTGTAACGGCAATGAGGAGACACAACTGTAAATACCTGCTGTAAGAATTCTTTCCAAGCTGTAGTTTTATACTACATCTATAACTTTGCTACGAGTTCTATGATTTGTTGTTTAAAAAGCCCGTTGTAGCTTTCTAAGGGAACATTTTCTGTTGTGTTTTTTTTTTTTTTTTTTTTTTTTTTTTTTTTTTTTTTTTTTTTTTTTTTTTTTTTTTTTTTTTTTCCACACTCCTAGGGGGTAAAATGAGCTTGTTCAATGAACACAGCTTACAGAGTGGTCAAAATCTGTCAGTTGGTGCTTTATTCCAAGTACAGCATTTACCAAATGGCACAATATGAAAGTCAGGGAACACAGTATTGCATTATTGTTGCCAATTTATGTGTTGGGGAGGAATGTAGCTGAACCAGAGAAAGGCAAATAACATAAAAAAAGAAAATTGTTTGCTGAAGGAACAGTGGTTTTCTTTTTTTTCCCCTTCCCTTGGTCATCAGTATTTGGTGGAATGTCGGAGCTGGAGGCTTGGAGCCTGCGCCCAGTCCCTCCCCTTGCTCAGGCCGGGACAAGGCAGGGAATGTCCCCACGAGCACCACCGTGTGCCAACAGAAATCCCTCCTCTGGTGAAGTGAAAAAGGCCCCTCCGTCCCCATGGCCAGGCAGGCAGGGACACCTCGGGGAGCACAGCGGGATCCTCGCTGGGAAAGCCCTCGTGCTGCGGAGGGGAAGCTGCTGGGAGCACCCGGATCACTGGTAGTAGATGCTGAAGGCGTGCAGGATGTACAGGAAGGCCGTGAGGAAGGCGAAGAACTGCACAGGAGGAAGAAGAGCACAAGCTGGGGTCAGCTGGCAGCCCAACCCCACCTCCTCCCAGCCTCCCTCTGCCCTCCAGATGGGGAAGCCTCCCAGCCTGGAGCTCTCCCCAGCCTCAGAGAAGAGGCAGAGTTCCCCACTTTTCCCAGGACCCAACCACGCAAGGTGGCCCCTGGAAGCTCGTGCTGGCTGCACAGCACAGCAGAGGTGAGGACACTGCTGGGCCCGGGGTGGCTCTGCCAGGGCTGTCATGTTTGCTGCTGCCTCTCCCAGGGGCAGCTGTGGTTCTCCAGCCTGCCCGGGGTGTTCCAGGCCCGCTCACCGAGGCAGCACTGTTGAGCTGGTAGTGGAGCGGCGCGTTGGGGCCCATCTCAGAGTTGATGGTGGCGTTGGCCTGCAGGACAGCGGCGCTCATGTACAGGATGGCCGTGGCACCGTGGTACAAGCTGTCCTGCAATGCAAGGCTCGGGTGAGCGCTCCGGAGGGACGCACGGCCGGGCAGGGCTGGGATGAGCCCTCCCTGCCCACAGCTGCCGCTGTCCCGGCCCCTCCTTACCAGCACTTTCCAGTTCTCGCTGTTCCTGTGGAAGCCCAGGAGGTAGCTGAGGAGGAGCAGCAGGGAGATGAGGCAGGAGGTGAGGGACACGTACATCACCCATCCCTGCAGCAGCGGCAGGGACACGGAGGTAGCAGCGACGAGGATCCACACCCAGGTCCCGCAGACCTGCCGGGGACAAACAGGCGCCTGGGGTGAGCACGGGATGAGGAAAACTCCTTCTCTCCAAGTCCCTCCTGGGCTGGCCCCAGCAGCCAGCGGAAGCCCCTGCATCCTTCCCGGAGCATCCCGGCACGACAGCGGCACCAGTTTCCTTGAACACTCATGGGAAGTGAGTGTTCCTGCGAAAGGGAGAGGTTTGCTGCCGCCTTCCACACAAGGAAATGTCTCACCCTGAGGCGTTTGGTGCAAAAGCAGAAAATGGGCTTTTATCTCGGAGAGGTGAATGGCCACAGCATCGCCCGGCCCTGCCCCACTTGTTAATTTCTAGGGCTTGAAATCTGGCACGAGGAAGTCTCCTCACAGCTCCCCGCGCCAGCCCCGAGCCAGTCACTGGCTCTGGATCCACCCAGAAGATTTACTGTGCTCAAACAGCCCTAGGGTTGTCGGGATGAGCCCGTGCTGCCCTGCGCCATCCCAGCTCCGGAGGGTGAACCCTGGAATAGCTGCCGGGAGCTGAGCCCACTGGCACAGCAGGGATTATTCCTGTGGAGCAGTGGGGTGTGGGTTGCCAGCCCAGTGTCAAAGTACACCAGTTATTATCGCAGCCATTCCCATTGGATGCCCTCTGGACCCATGAGCAATTGAAAGAATCATGGAATGTCACACATCAGAAGACGCCCAATTGCCTTCAACCCCTGGGAAGACTCCATAGAGGATAGACACAGACAGACTTGATACAGAGAGCAAAATTCCCTTGATTTTCAAGCAATTTCTATGTGCTAGCAAGAGCTGCTTCTGCCCTGAGGAGCCAGCAGCTCTTCAGCCTCTCCCAGCCCTAGGGCAGCCGGCGACCCCGGGATGGAACTGGAGTGTACCTTGTCCTCAAGCTGTTCCAAAACACCCCGTCACAAAGACCACCTCTGTGCATCCAGCACAGGCTCAAAGACAAGATGTTACTTCCCACGACCGCTGTCTCCAGGATCGTTTGGGGGCTGCTCCCAGGATTTTAGCCATGGGCCAGGTGCCATAACGCAGCGGAGCTTGGGATACTCACGATCTCGGGCAGGATGAAGGCGTAGGGGATGGTGATGAAGACGGCGGGTCCGGAGGGCAGGGCGGGCTGTGTGGAGGCCGTGGAGGGACCCACCGAGGCCATGTCTCCTCAGCTGACACCAGGATCACTGGGCTCACACTCGCCCGCACCGGGTTTTAAGGGACACACCCGCGGGACGTAATCACAGGAACCAGCCCAGGCTGGCACCGCGCCGGCCCGGGAGCCCTCGGCACCCTCCCGCTGCTGCGGCTCCGCACACCCCTCTCCCAGGGCTGGCAGAGCAGCGGGACCCCGGCCCGGCCACACCGTCAGCTCAAGGTCACTACCCAGAGGGGAGAGGAAAAAACTTCCCACACACCGGGGCAGAAATGTTTCCTGCAAACAGTTGCTGTCCTTGGCACGCTTCCAAGCCCGAAATATTTTCCCTTCCACTGTTGTTGCCTCCTCCCCTTTCTGTTCAGGTTTCTGCTCCGTGTTCACGTCAGACCCCTCCACACCCTGCGGGCACATCCAGCCTTCCAAAACTGGCTGGCAGATGATTTTGACAGACAGCGCTCTAGCACAAGCCGGAAGGGTTTGCCCCTGCACTCCCAACTGCCCTGAAAGGTTTGAGAGAGAGAGAGTTGCTGGGATTTCTATGTCCTGACAGATGCACTTCGGGTTCGGGGAGCGCTTGCTGCTTCATCCAGCAGACTCTGCCTCGCCCCAGAACTCCCCCATAGCTGAGGGGATGAAAGGCTGAAGGTGACCAGAGGGGACAGAATGACCTGACTAAGTGGGGCAGTGTGCTCCAGCAGAAGGACACTGTCACAGTAAGATATCCCATGTGTGTTAGGAGAGCCAGTTGATGCCCCAGGAACTTGGCTTCCCTGCCAAGCCTTGCGTGACACAGACCAAAGGTCAAATCCACGTTTCTTGTCTGAGCCCTTACTTCAGGGAAGTGCTCTGTGGCGTTTCTGGAGGCTCCAGTGCACAAGTGCTCCCATGGGAGCTGGTCTGGGGCTCCGTGCACTATGCTTGAAAGATCTTGTTTTAAATCATTTCCCACCTGGCAAAACTGCCTGGCCTGGGCTCAAGTCCATGTGTGACTCAGTGCCCAGCTGTCCCATCAGACACGGTGGCAGCGTCCCCATCACCCTGCAGGAAGCACCCAGATGCTCCAGCACTAAAGGGAAACTGGATTAATAACTCCCCCCAGGGAAGGGGCAGCACACGGGGTCAGCACAGAGGGAGCCATCCCAGGGGAGCTGGCGCCCTGAATTCCCACCAGGTGGGTTAGGTCAGGCACATTCCTGTGAATGGCCCAGCCTTCTCCTGACTGGGGGAGGAAAGCAGGCAAACAGCCTAAAAATGGATGAACCTGCTGTCCAGGGGTTGGGCAAGAGAGGATTTTTCCCCTCACCTGGCTGCCCTTGCTCAGCAGCATTCTTAAGGATCTCTGCTATTCCCCTTCCCTGCTCCCAAGCCTGCTGGGGGACAGGGACAAAGAGCCTTTTGTTCACCCTGAGTAAAACAACTCTGGAAATTAATTGGAAGAAGCTACAGGAGAGGAGGAGGGTGCTGAGAAGTGCTGCCTGGGCTTCAGCAAAACACAGCACTCGAAGTGGCTACAACAGGTAGTGACAGACAACCAGGGCCTTCTCTAATGTTTGTCAACAACTGAAGTTACGCTGATAAAATAATTCCAGTCTCTCCCAAAATGTAAATGTTTTTAAATACTCGTTACAATTCAACAGTACAGTCTCTTTGGTAAGAATTTATTTATATTGTTACCCCAATTGTTACTCTCCTTAGAGAGGCTGAATTGTTCCTTAGTCCATTGATTCTCCAGGATTTTTCCTCACTTCTCCTAAGAAATCATAAGCCAGCTCTGAGATGTCAAAGGCTTTGTGGGTGGTTTCTGAGGACAGCAGGTACTGCAGAGCACCGTCATTCTCCCGGCTCTTCCTCAAGAAGTCATGGATCGCCTTCCAGCGGGACATTTCTGCCTCCTCCTCAGCCCACTTGTAGCTGGGGAGGAACGTGGACTGCAGGAGAGGGAAGACGGAGTCGTGGTACACCAGGACAAACACAGACTTCAGGAATTCCAGATCTCTCTGCAGAGAAGAAAATACTTCAGTGCAAACTCGTGGTGCTGCCAAGCCCTCCTCCGAAGTATTGTGCACAGGGACCAACCAAACAAGTCACCCCCAGCTCCCAGGACAACAGCGGGAATTTGACCTTCCTAAACAAACATCCGTTATCTCGGGTAAGCCTGAAGAATATAAACCACAGATCAACAAAATCTGCTCTCCGAGCCCTGCCAGTGCTCCCACAAACCACAGGCACTGAGATTTGCTTGTGGAGTATTTGTATTTCTTCCTAAAATTAGTGCCACGTGCTCCCTGCCCTGGAAACCCAAACTCTGCTCGCTTTCCCGAGGCAGAGAGTCGCTCTGATCCTGCTCTCCTCGGAGCAGGAGGTGAGGCCTGGCTGCTCCAGGGTGAGAATTAATGTGCTCCCCTGTAAAGGCCAATTTGGAAAACTTAAGGATCAGCCGGGTCAATTATCAAACACACGGGAAGGATCCCGACCGCTGCCTGCAGGAAACTCCTCCAGCACGGAGCATTCCAGACCCGTGAGGGCCGTGCCTGGCATGGAGCACTTCACGGCTCAGCGGGAGATGTGGCAGCTCAGAGTCACAGAGCCACGAGGGCTGAGCGCTCAGCAGGCAGCAGTCCTGCCCTGGGAGTGGCACATGCCGGTCAGGTAAAACTGGATGGTTCTGGGATCCTGGGGAGTCACCAATTCTGTGAGCAGCTCGCCTCTCCTTTTGGGTGAATGGCCCTGAAAAAGCAGTTCTGACTCAAGGGCGTTTGGTTTGTTTGTGTAAACAGGGAGCAATCCTTGTGCATGGGGAATGAAACATCCCACTGCTGCTCCCAGGAAGGCCTGGATGGAGAGCCAGTGGTTTTCTCATTGAGCTGCTCTCCGGGCAGAGGATAGGAGGTAGGACAGGGTGGGGGTGAGCCTGGTGACAGCCAGGTCAGTTCTTCAGCTGCCTGCACACCAAAATGTGGGATTGGAACTGTCTGGGGTGGGGAGATGGGAGGAATCTGGGGGCCTTTTCCCAGGCAGACTGGAGCTCAGAGGTTGGAGCAGATGATTTTGTGAGCCTACACAGCCTCCTTTGTATCCATGGAAGTAACAGCTTCCCCACTAACAACACCCAGACAAAAAGTTACATGTGAATTTAATTCTCTTCCTCCTCCTGGTTTACTGTTATTTAAGAACTCTAGTTAACATGTCTCTATTTTTTAAGTAAATGCACAGTGAGAGGAAAAGCTAAGCAGTAACACTGGCAGGGAGCAGCTAGTTCGGACTACACTGAATATATGGAAAGAAAACCCTGTAGTTTGTTACCTTCTCAGTTCTCTTCAGTGTTCTTTCTCTGTCTGCCCAAGCGCTCTGAAATGAAATGTAAAATCAGACCAAGCCTGTGGAGAACTTTCTCTTTTCACAGCACAAAAACACCCTCAGCTTTTGTCTGGAAATCCTGACAAGGTAACATACCCGAAGCGCATCCATCAGGTCTGGCTGATCCATGAGCTGAGGGAAAGTTGCTAAAACAGGATTACAGATTAAGTCTGAAACAGAAAGCAAACACATTCAAGGCTAAGTACAGAGCACATCCAGGTACTCAGCACATCCCCTCATCTCGGGTTATTCCAAAGGGAATATGAGCTGTAACAGTGCTCCTGAGGGCAGGGAAGGCAGGAGAGCTCCCAACCAACAGAGTTCTCTGACCGTAGCCAGCTCTCAGTGGCTGGGAGACACTTACACCAGGAGAGCAAAAACCAGCTGCTGGTTTACTGGGAGCACCAGCAAGCATATATTCCTTTTAAATATTCCTCACCCACCTACCTGCCTGAGGGGTTTTCCCTCATTCCTGCACCTGCCTTTTTCTACACACAGCTGCAACTGTGCTGCTGGGTTGGGATGTTATGGATAAACACACTTGGGTTCTACCTCCCCCTGGCATGTCTTGTGGGGCATTTTAAGAGAACCGGGTACCAAGTGGCACAGAGAATTTACCCAGTGGGGTAAATCCCACTGCACAGGTATCCTGGTGCTTTTTGGGCTGGCTGCCTGCTCTGCTCCTGTCCTTACTTTAATGAATGAGATTGTGGGTAAGATTACAAGTGTCAGGGGGCGGAATTTTGGTTGAAGTATTTTTCTTGTGATTTCAAATATTTAATGCACACTGCTCTTTCTTCCTCTTGAAGCAGATGGAAAGTTTAGTAAACACAAAGCTTCTACTAAACCAAAACACTTACAGGCCACAGGCCAGAACTGATCCCTCCTGAGAGACAGAGCAGGCATTTTAAACTGCCTATTTCCAAAGTGATGGGGGATTTTGTAATAACAGAAATCCGCTTCGGTGACACAACGCCAGAACAGCTTCTGAAACGCCTTTCAATCATTTCAAATGGAGTCTGGATCCAAAGGGAGGCAGTTTAATCCCAGGAGAGCCTGATCTGCTGTGCTAAGTTATGAAGATCAAGTCAGGTAAGTGTGACAGTTCTCACCTGGTCTTTAAAACTAAGCACTTCAGTTTCTCTGTGTAAGCTTATTAATTAAAGCATTAATTTATTAAAGGGCCCGGCTTTCAGCTACTGAAATCAGTACAGGCAGGATGTATATTAAAGCTGAAGAAAATCAGGAAGGGAGTTAAGCACCTCTGACAGATGAATCTGTGATTCAGGTGCTTAAGTATGATAAAGATTCTAAGTGAAAAATACCAGCAACTGTACAAGGAAATTTATTTGCATAGGAAACAGATGATTCATAATTCAGTCTGGAGAAGGCATGGGAGAAAGCACCAGAAAATCACTTTCAGTACCAATATAAATTCACCTGTAGTGAATTTAATTAAGTTAAGAAATGTAAATTTTCTGTATCTCAAATGGATGCTAAAATGGAGAAGGCTATAAACTATTATTAGTTTTGTTGAATAAGATACAGAGTTGCAAAATCAGGGCAAGCCACTGAGTTCTAAAAACAGAACTCTTCCACTTCTGTCTCTCCCTGCGTTAGTCAGTAAGTAAATAGTAATTAAAAAATAAAAATAAAGAGGAAAATGTACCTCAACGACAAAAACATCTGAGAGAGATGAACAGAGAGGCTCATTCTCTGGAAGAAGCTGAGCTGTCCTTGGCTCTCACCTGTGCTTTGCGTGCTCGTCCTGTCCCTCAGGAGGGCATCTCCGAGCATTTGCCGATAGAATGCCAAGAGGTGGATGTAGCTCGTGCTCCCAATTAATGTTTCTGGTAGGAAACTATTGGGCAGATAAAGAACAGCGGTTGAGATTTCATTGGGAACTGCTCCTACAGAGCAGCATCCACCAGAGCCCGAGGGAAGGGACAGCTCCGTGGAGGGTATTTACTCATGGCATCTCCATGAATCCATCCCCGCTTCTGGACACTGACACAGCTCCAAGGGCCACACTCCTGCTGCTGCAGTTTTCCATCTTATCTAAAGACTTTATTTCCAACAAAATAACCCCAAGCATCAGACGGACGCTGAGTACCACATGCAGGTGACACGGCCCTCGGGTTTTTCCATAGCCGGTGTTCCAGGGGAGGGGAACGCTGATCTCTGGGACCATTCCGGGCTATCTGGAATTGTGTCTCATTTTGTGGCAGCACACACCAGTACTCACTTCAGGATGTCTTCTGTACTTACTTCAGGCTGTCCCTGGACTGCACACTCGGTGACCTCAGCTTCACCAGCAGCACAGGCTGTTTCCTGAGCGTCATGAGCTGATGGAAAACCCCACCGCCTGCAGCGGGAACAAACCCCCGAGATGGAATCAGCCAGCTGGAAAGAACGTTCAGAATTACATCCCCAAAAACAGGCATTCAAATAGCTTGGGAACCCTTTGCCACCCAGCACTCCACAGCCTAGGGAAGTGCAGGTAAAGCAGTGATGAAATACATGCAAAATGGGAACACACCAACCCAAACCAGGCTGTTTTAAAAGAGATACAGCATTGGCCCCGGCATTTTTTATTTAAATCATATTTAGGAGAAGCCACACCTCTTCTTGATATTGAAGGGTCAACCTCGACCCCTCTCTCGTAGGGAGTTCCACCACTCAGCAGCAGCTCGTACATCCTGCCCAAAAAAAGCAGCACAGTTAAATGAAAACACTTAGGGATGTGTGAGAAACAAAAAGCCGCTATCTCAGAACCTGACACGCCCTTCCATGTTATAACCAGTGCTTTGGATGCAATGACTGCACCTAACTAAGCAGCCAGACCCCAAGTGGTAAATGTGAAACCTGTATTACACTGGGAGGTGAATAATTTGAGGAATTTCTTGTATTGGGAAGTTGATTATTTTAAAAGCAACCAGCAGCATTGATTCTTTTCCACAGCTCCAGTATTTTCCCTGAATGACACTTAGCAATTGTTTCACTGAAATGTTTTTGAGGTGTCACCACTGCAATGTTTTAGATCTTCCATATCTAACATCCCTTAAAGAATAACATCATCTCAGTTCTGTTGAAGCAAGCATGAAATGTAATGTGTAGATACCCACGTTTAACTTACTGAAACAGTAAAACAAAAAAACCACCTCTTATCTGATTCCAGGTTTTGAAAACCAGCCTCCTAAGTTTTACATGGATAAGCAGCAAAGTGCACACGAGGAAGAGGCAGAATCCCAGAGGACTGGTGTGGATGAGAGCTGCCCCAGGAGTGTGTGAGCACGGGAGGGGAACTCTGCCCACAGTGGAAAACAGATGTGTGTACAGATGTATGTAAGCACAGAGGGAGCAGGAAAACGTCTCAAACTCACTTGGCAGGGACAGGAATTCCATTAGAAGTGAAGAGCTTCAGGAATGCCCAGCCACAGCTCAGCTCTCCCCTTACACCTGTTGACTAGAAAAAAAGAGAAGCATTAAGTGCTTTGAGCAGCTGACCAAACCACAATTAATCATAGTCAGCCCATCAGAATCGTTGTGGTGACCCCCCCTTTTCCTCTTTCACCCCTGTGTGTTGACAATCACAGCCTGTCTTCCCTTAGGGGAGTTCTGGCCTTTAGCATCTGCTGTGCTAGAAGCTGTTGTACTTTCAGCAGCATATCCCACGTGGCCAGGCTGTATCTGGGTACGCTGGAGTTAGAAACCGCTGTTTGTTTGTACTGTTGGAACAGTTTAAATTTTAGTTTCCAAGCTGTACAGCACCTTAGTCTGAAACAAATCACAGAGGGAGGAAACCCGCAGGAGTGAAGGGACAACTGGTCCCTTGTGATGCCAGGACAGGGGGTGCTGGGAACAAGTTATTCCAGTGTAAGCACAGGTATGCTCGTGGCCATCAGTCAGAAGTTTTTATTCTCTAGTTAGGGGTATTGTCTACCCACAGAATCCCTCTATACACCTGCACTTGGAGGGGCTTATGCTGCACCTTCACACACTCACATTGCACGTGTAAGTGATGCCAAGCTCAAATAGTATCCCAATGTCTGATGACAGAGAGTTGGACCTGACAAAACAGTCACCGTCCAGCAAGCTGGGTAAGAGGCCCATCACCTGATACAGAGAGAGGGAGGGGAAACAAAAAAGTTAAGGTAAATATTTGAAACAAATCTTTATTTTTAAAGGCCATCAAGCACATCCCTCACTCACACAGGGCCTCACACCCAATCCCACTGCATATAAAAATGAGAAGAGAACCAGTTTCAGTCAAAACCTTATTCTCTTTCTTTCCATGGAGCACAGCTGTGCCACCTAGGAACTTTTTAGTGACAGGCTCTTGTCACTAAGCAAGAAACTTAAATAACTAGTTAATCAGTATGTCACCTACCCTTGGGGAAAAGGTCCATGTCTGAGGATTTTTGGGCAGCCACGTGGCTCTCACTGTGTGGATGTTACTCAGCACCTAAATGTGACAGTGGGGAAAAAAGCTAAGGCGAGTTTTTCTGGAAAGCCCTGCTGCTGTAAGAAAGTGCAGATTATCCCAGATTAATCCCACAATGCACACAGCAAAGACAACTGGAAGGGAACTGCTGGATGTTGGTATAGAGAGCTGCTCTGCACATACACAGAAAGGGACAGAGGACTGAGGGCAGGGGCCATCTGACCCTGACCCAGCTGCTCCCAGGCCCATCACAGGAGAGAGATCAGCCCTAAACCACTCATCCCCACAAACACAAAGGAGCCACGAGGCACAATGGCAGGTGGGGGGACCGAAATCACGGGCTCAGAGAAACTCCTGCCCCGGCCCCTCCCAGGGCAGCCCAGCACGGCCCTCAGCCCCAGGGGCAGGGTGTGACTGTCACTGTGAGTCAGGAGCAGCTCCCTGGGTCACCTCACTCTGCCCAGGGGAGGAGAGTGCAGGGGAAGGGCACTGTGGGACTGCACTGACTTACCGTGGGAGGGAAGTAGTAATGGGGAGAAACCAAGGCAGAAAAGGGGAGGGATGGAGATGCTTTGTGGAGTAACAAGGGTGGGACACGGGGTAAGTGTGCAAGCTTGGCCATGCCTGGTGCCTGTCAGTGCAGTCTGTCCTGCTTGCTCATTAAATCCATTTAGAACCATTTTTCTGGGTGGATGGGCCCAAAGCAGAGGAATCTGAGCATGAGCTGAGCAGCCTGGGAGGCAGATGGTGCGAGTGAGACAGCTGGAGGAGCTGGCTGCCAGAGAACCCAAAGACCCCAGGGAGCTCCAGAGCTCCTGGAGTCACCACTGAGGTGGGAAGGCCCCGCTCACCCGCGCGCTGTCGAAGAGGCAGAGCCGGACGTGCCTGCTGAGCACCCGCACGCTGGCTCCTGGCACCGGGATCATCTTGCAGCTGCACAGACTCACAGCCTGCGACACACGGGTCGCCCTGGCACGGATCTGGAACCCAACACAGCCAGGGTTAAACCTCCAGGGCTCCCCCCTGCTCGTGGTTTTGTGTTTGGTGACTGGGGTGGTCCCTGCAGGGGTTCTCCCAGCCACAAACCCTGGGCAGTGTCAGCAGCAGAACGCCTTCACCAGCCCTTGGTTCTCCCCTGAGGACACTGCTGCAGGTATTGCAGTGGGACAGATGATGTCCAGGCAGGAGAAATACTCCAAAAACAGTGCAAATGAGGACACGATCATTAGCCAGTAGGAAAGAAGACCAATTAAATTGGTGATGTCACAGTGCTCATGGTTTAAAACCTCACACTGGTCACCCACTGCTTCACCCCAGACAGGGAGGGAACCCATAGACTGAAATGGCTCTTAAAAGACAACCCAACATGACAGTTTATACTGGCTTTTTGCCTAGTGGAGGTCAGGACGTGATTACATCTCCTGCCTAAGGAGTCTGGATGGACGTGGCAATCTGCAATATTCACCCACCAATGGGAAATCCTGCCAGCAATTCCCTCCTGGGGATCCCATCGCTTCCCCAGCCCAAAGGCATCGAGGCTCCCTTACCAGGGATACTCACAGTGTTTTTTTCAGAGTCCCACACCAGGTCTTTGAAAGCCAGCTGGGATGGAGTAAGCTCAGGCTGCAAGTAGTGACTGGCCCGAAACTCGTCGCCTACAACAAGGGTAAGTTTGAAAAAATCCTTCACTTTTTAAATGATCTTTACTGCCACAAAATGAGCAACACCCAAAACTCAAATTTGACCAAACAAAGCTGTGGAGGCGTTTCCTATGAGCACTGGTTACTCTTTGGAAGTGTTCTGCAGTATTTCATCCCAGGAGCACGCTCATTTAATTAACAAAAAGAGCTGAAATGTTTTAAACAAAAAGATTAACAAAACATGAGATGTGTAATAATCTTCCCCAAGAAAAAGGGATGATTAACATAAAATTAAAAGAAATCATAATTTCCTCCAATGTCAACAGTATCTTCCAAAGAGGAAAACCTTTGAAATCGTGAGGAAATTTGTCAGGATTTCACACAGAGAAATTAAAACTGAATTGAAGAAGGGGAAAAAAAGCCTTTTATACAGTATTTGATGGGTCAAATATAGCAAATTATAATCAAGCAATACTGGTTGCACTCCAACAGGCTGGTGACCAGGGTGAGGAACTCACCACAGCCACCTGAGAGTCCTGCACTGGAACCGTCAGGAGAAATCCTTACCTTTCTCTAAGAGCTGGAAAAGCGTGGACGGGCGGAATCCTGTGGGAACTGCTCCTATGGTGGTCAGTACCTCCACTGTGTCATGCTATTAAAACCAAAGTTATGTCAGGATTTCTGCTATTTAACAGCTACTTTAGAACCCCCCAAAATAGAGATGCTAATTAAAACCAACAGTCTGTAACATGGGACACCGCGTTTGGTAAAAGGACAAAGCTTGTCTGCAGAATAATTAACATAATGGCAGGTGAGAGGTGTAAGAGGGGCACCCACCTCTGTGATGGCTTGTACAGCACTCCAGTGAGAGTCTGTCCTGGAAGAAAAACAGGGGGTTTTAGAATATAGCCTTGTGTGGACCAAAATTCAAACACTAAATATGGGTCTGTTTTCAAAGAGCAGCAGCTTCGTAACCATAACTAACATCTCAGAACTCCCCAACAAACCCACTCAAGAAGAAAAAAGACCAAAGCCCCCTGTGAGGTAAGAAATGCCAGGTTGAAGGGGGAGGAAGAATAATTTTACACTTGTTTGCTTTCACATCACTCCTTTTACCTTCTTTTAATTTCAGTCCCATCTGCTGTTTCATCCACCACTTCTATGTGTTCCTCCCTCTCCTCCTGACCTTCTTCCCCTTTCTTAGGAACCTGCAATTCAGATTCAACATGGCAAAGGGCTTGATTTCTTCCCAACTCTGTCCTTAAAAATGCCCTCTCCAACCACAGCCCACGTTAATGGGAGAATTTCTGTCTGTGATGCATCGCTGTAGCTGCAGAAAACTGTCCAACATTTACATGGACTCACACTGCAGATAAATAAAAAGCCCAAATTGATCCACAGCAGCTTGCAGTCATCAGAGCTGACCTTTAGTGACAAAGATGATGACTTCTATATTCAGGAAACTTCTCGGCCACATCTTCACAAGGCACAAAAACGCTGCTGTTGATGGGTATGTCCATCCCCGTGGATAAAAACACGGCATTATTTCTCAAAAACTGGCATTATTTCCAAATAACTGGCATTACTTCGAAATAACACACTCCTGCACCTCCCCACACGAGCACTGTGACCGATTTTATGCAGCTGTATGGTCATTAAAAGCCCAGAGGTGAGATAGGACAGAGGCTGCAGAACACCAACCGCAAGGTAGGTCCTGGGAACGAGGCCTCTCTCCCCCTTGGAATTTTCAGCCAGCCACCAACCATCCACCTTCTTGTCGTGGATAAGCAGGATTTCACCTTTCTGTGGCATTGGAAGGAGAGACAGAGACAAAAGACAACCAAATATTTAAATTAAACCCCCACAAACTCTTGATTTTTCCTACAACAGACATTCCAGAGGCTGCCACGACAGAAGGTGGCAAAAGGACCACTGGACTCCAAGAAAACACCATTTCCCCCCAAATCCCACAAGGAACTGGCTGAATCCCAAAAGCATAGGCTTTAGTTATAGTTATTGCTTAATATAGACTGATCTGCAGCAAAAGCCCTGTACAGAGAGTATTCACCTCAAATGTGAGATCCCCTTCCTGCTGTGCATCAAAGTTCCCAACAGCAACACATTCTTTAACGTTTGGATCATCCAACAACTTCTCTTCATCTTCTTCTTCTTCACTATCTTCCTCCTCACTGCTTTCTTCATCTCCACTCTCCTCCTCTTCTTCATTTCCATCTTCTCCATGAGGACCTTTCTGATGTTTCTCATCCCTACCCAAAACAAATCAGGCTTTTTTTCGTTCTCATTTTCACCCCACTTTTGGAAAGCGTTGTCAGACACAGCGTTTTCAGTCCCATGTTTTACTCTCTGCCCAGAAAGGAACTCCAAAATCCCAGTGGTGCTTCCTCCCTCCCTGTCCTCCAGACATTATCCAACGCGCTCAGAAAATCCCAGTGAGCCCGAAATCACTGATCTCGCGAGCCCTTCTTTTCTTGTCCTTCTATTTTTCAGATAATAAAAGGGATGAACTAACAGTTTTCCAGGGTGCTTTCCAACCATTCCATAAAAACACAGGTTGTGTGTTTGAGCTACTCACACTGCGTAACGCTTTGTCACGTTATCCCGATCCAAGGCAAGGAGGAGTTTCTGCAGCTGCTGGGAGAGTTTTAGCAACAGCTTTTCCTCTTCTTCCTTCCTCTGGCTGTAATTCCCCACCGGTGCAGGCTCGTCAGCCTGACAAAGAACACAACAAATTGCCCAAAGAATCAAAGTTCCCCTGTAAATTTAGTTTTCCAGACATGCCTTACAAGCTTTCCCCTCCCTGGGCTGCTCTCACTCCCTCCTCAGTGACATTTTCTTTGCCCTTCCACTCTGCCAAGGTGAAATTCCATGTTAAATTTCGAATTGCATTCCCTGCTTCCAAAGAATGCATCGGGCTCAATATTTTATGTACAGAACTTGGACACAACAAACCATTTAACTGAGTTTTTAAATAACATAAATTGATAGATAAACTGGAGAGAAGCCAACCAGGGACTGTGCACTGCTCTTGCCCTGAGGCATCTAAAATGGAAGGTTGGTGGTCTTTAAATGTTTCCTATGGTGAATTTTGGAGAAAAGCACAAACAAATTCATTTCCACACTCACTTTTTTCAAAGCATGGAGAGCACTTGTGTTCTCCTCCACCAGTTTCTTCAGCTGGATACATCTGCATTGAAAGCAAGACAGACAGATGATATTTTCTTAAAATTCTGCCCCAAACTGTCCCTGCTGACTGAAAAGTGCTGTTTGTCCGGGCAGCTTGGGAATTCCAAGCCCAAACAGCAGCTTGGTCGATTATTCCCTGGGATGTGCAACCTCCCAGTGGCATTTGGCAGAATCCCAGCATAGCTGGGGTTGGAAGGGACCTCTGGAGATCATCCAGTGCCAAGGCAGGGTCACCTGGAGCGGGTGGCACCGTGTCCAGGGAGGTTTGGAATGTCTCCAGAGAGGAGACTCCTTGGGCAGCTCTACCAGTGCTCTGATCCCTCCATGGAAAAAAGTCGTTCCTCATGTTGAGGTGGAATTTGCAGTTTAGTTTATGGCCATTGCTCCTGTCCTGTCACTGGGCACCACTGAACAGAGTCTGGCCCCATCGTCTGATGCCCCTTGGAGATATTTGTATGGATTTATGAGATCCCCTCTCGGCCTTCTCTTCTCCAGATTCTCCTCAGCCCCGGCGGGCTGGGCAGCAGCCAGCCTGGAAGGAAGGAGCAGGGAGACATCTGGACAACCGGGAGAAGAAAGGAAAGGCGGAGGGGGAACTCTCTGCTCCTTCTGATGCAGAGCGATGGGGACGGAGCGATCTGCGGGGGCTTCGCTCTTCCCACACACAGAGCAGAGCCGGACGACTCCTGTTTGAGGGTAAGACAGGGAGGGAACGAGGGTTGGGGTTCGGGATGGGGTTCGGGACCCCCCTCACCTCTGCCGAAGGGCCTCCCGCTGCCCGGGGGTGGCGGCCGCGCTCTCCGCCCGCAGCGCATCCACCTGGAACAGGGACAGGGGCAAACAGGGGCGGTCAGGGGCCGGCTCGGGCCGTGTTCTCCCCCGGTGTAGCCCCGGCCCGGCCCGGTACCTGCTCCCGCAGCTCCCGGCTCCGGCGCTGCACCCGCTGGAGCGGCCCCCGCGCCCGCCGCTCCGACATCGTCACCGGGCAACGGGAGAGCGGGCGGCGCTGCACGATGACGGACCGGGGCGGGGCCGGCCGGGCCCTCCCGATCGCGGGGCTCAGCCGGTTCAGGGGTTCACCCGGTCCCGGGGCTCAGCCGGTTCAGGGGTTCACCCGGTCCCGGGGCTCAGCCGGCCCCGGCGCTCGGTACCGCATCCCCGGCCCTGGCACCGCGGGAGCTCCCCAAGCTCCAAAACCACCTCCGGACCGAAGAGCCCCGGGAGCTACGAATTTGTTTGGCTGCAAATTATTTGGCGTTTTGTGATCGTAATCGCGGGATCGGTAAGGTTGGGAGAGAGCTCTGAGACCGTCAAGGCCAGCCCTCAAGGGGCGCTTTTTCCCCCACGCCAGGACTTTTGGAACTTCATTAATACAGTTGAAAACCAGCGGCCTGCAATGTGCAGTGAATCCCCGGGCACCTCCCAGACTCAAACAGATACTCTGCTGGAACTCCCTAACGATGGGAAGGGAAGAAAGAACATGCTACAGCCTTCTCCTCAATTCCTTATCCAAAGTGCCAGGAGGAATTCTGCCTCCAAAGCCAACATCCTACATTTAATTTGCTGTTTCACCTTGCCAATGGTACTTCACCACCTAATTGTCCCCACGCTCTTCTATAATGAGGGTTGTTACAAGTGCCCATAAGGCACGTTTTCACATTCATTTCAGAAATGAAAGCACATCCAGGAACACCCTGTCATGATTTTGGCTACTTTATTGTGTCAGCAGTGCTTTTTGGCAAGGGCAGAGCAGCAGGCTTAGAGCTGGACAAGTGCAGACTACCTTTGGAATATAGGAATCACAGAACCATTCAGGTCGGAAAAGACCTCCAGGATCATCGAGTCCAACCTGTGCCCGATCCCCACCTTGTCACCCAGCCTGGAGCACTGAGTGCCACATCCAGTTGTTCCTTGGACCCCTCCAGGGATGGGGACTCCACCAACCTCCCTGGGCAGTCCATTCCAGGTTTGGAGTCATCGCTGCTGTATCCTCAGTATTTTGTTAGATCTGTCCAACACAGTTTGGGATCGTGCCTTTCTGAAGGATGGAAGAGAAACCCTGGTATTCCATAGATGCTGTCCCTCTCCAGCAGTCCTGCTATTCCATGGATGCTGTCCTTTTCCAGCAGTCCTGCTATTCCATGGATGCTGTCCTTTTCCAGCAGCCCTGGTATTCCATGGATGCTGTCCTTTTCCAGCAGCCCTGGTATTCCATGGATGCTGTCCTTTTCCAGCAGCCCTGGTATCCCATGGATGCTGTCCTCTTCCAGCAGTCCTGCTATTCCCTGGATGCTGTCCTTTCACAGCCCTGCTGTTCCACGGATCCTGCCCTTTTCCAGCAGCCCTGCAGTTCCACGTGTGTTATCCTTCCCCACAGCGCTCCCACACCGTTTCCACCACCCTTCTCCCGGCGGGGGCCCCCGGGGCGCCGCTGCCGGGTCTGGGGGGGGGGGATCCCGGCTCCCGTTCCCGGCTCTCAGGCCGCGTCCAGCTTTTCCTGGGCAGCGGCGAGGCGGCGCTGGAGGTAGCGCTGCCTCCAGCGGAGGAAGCGGCGGCGGAGCCGTCCCGCCTGCCAGCCCACGGCCACGCCGGCCGCGAAGGCGGCGAGCAGCGCCCAGCGCACGGCCCGCGGCCGCAGCTGCTCCAGCACCATCCCGGCCCCGATCCCGATCCCGATCCCGGCCCCGGCCCCGGTCCCGGCAGCGCCTCCCGCTTCCGCCGCCCCGGGGGCGGGACCGGCCCCGTTAAAGGCGGCGGGGCCGGGGAGGTGCCGCGTCTGCCCCGCCATGGCCCAGCCGCCCGAGCAGGTTCTCC